GGGGTCGGGGTGACCTTGAGGAGGTGCCACCCCCGGGTCGGAGCCACCCCCTCGCAGGAGCCAGCCTGGCCGCGGGTAGGGCTAAACTCACGGCAGCGGCAGATTTGAGGGGGCCTCGAAGGAAGGTGAGGCGAGAAGGCGGGAGCCCCTTCCCCGCTCGGCCGGTGGCCTGTGGCGCCCGGTGGGCCTGTCCCCTGGAGGCCTGTGCCGAGCAGAGCCGAGCGGAGCCATGCCGGCAGCCCTGGGCACAGCCTGCCCCGGCCCTGAGCCGGCCGTGCTCCGACGCCTCAGGGGGGAGGAGGGTCGAGCATCTTTGGGAAGGAAGGTTTCTCACAGTGTGTATGTAAAAAATGGATCCTGGTTACTTAACACGCGCTAAAATTAAAGCAGCTGATGAGCTCTGCTGTCAAGTACACCTCTAGCCCAGCTTAAGGAAAATGCTGAGGTGTATCGTGAATTCGAGCCTCCATTGCTAAGACTTTGTGGCAGCGGAGCAGCTCTTTACTGCTGGAGTCAGAGTAGTTTCTGGTGGGTAAGAGTGCTCGGTGTCAGCTCTAGGAGCAGATCAGAATAACGATGTCCTGCATCCTGTAGCTGCCCTCAAGATGTTCTGCTGCTCACGGTGCTGTTCTGTTCGCATCTGCTTTCCAGGGCTTTGCACAGCTGTTTTACCAGCAGCTGGAAGTCCGGTGTGTTGGTATTTTCCTCACTTTTCCACTCCCCTGAGCAGTGCCACATGCACCTCTCCATTTTTCTCTCCCTTATTTAATTTGATATTGCTCATCTTTAGAATAGCAAAATACTTCACCACTAAGCTTCATGATAGTTTCGTGTGACTTACAGAACATAAGTATGTAGGGAATTTTTTTAATTCGTGACTCCACAAATCACTTGTCATGAAGATGAATGCCAGTACTGGGGACCCAAGTCTGTTTTCCCCAGTGGCGAACGAAAAGCAGCTGCTCCTGCTTTTCTGAGAAAGGGTGGCTGGACTGGACAGTCATGTGGCAAATGCACCCACGGGCAAAGAGGCAGCAACGGTGGGGAGACAGGTAAAAGCTGTATTACGTACTAAAGCTAAGGATTAAATGAGCTAATAAAACTGAAGGGCAGAAGATGCTGTTTAAACATACCTTGTAATATCCACCAAATGAAACATATTTATAGTGGTTCATAATTAAAGACTCTTAGTGTTCTGCACAAGAGAAAACAGACTTGGATGTTCCTTTCAGGCAGCTTCTTAGTGAAAAAGTAAAGCAAACAACATTAACTCTTGTATTTGTGTTGGTTAGGTGCCATAGTTGTGTCTGAACTTTTATCAGATCAGTGAGATGAGCTACCCATGTCATCCTAGCTATCCAGGCAAGCAAGAAGTCACTTCTCATGATACCACCTAGCAGATCTGAAGGACAGCACAGTGCAGTATGAGGCCTGGGAAGTTGGGCAGGACACCCCTCCTGCACCGCCCTCTGCAACCACACACCCCGGAGTAATTACCAGCCAAATGCCACAGCTCAGCTCTGCATTTGCTTGAAAGGTTGTGAGTAGCTACACCTACATAGGGTCCACTGAGTCAGTGTGTCAGAACACATGGACTCTCCAAACAATCTCCTCTATGCTGCCAGCAACCTGTTTCAATCTGAAGTGTAGGGCAGTTTTTCCCACCCTGGTCTTTAAGGGAATATTCTTCAGGAATAAGGTTTTCATTTCTCTCTTTCAAGCAGCATTTTATTTTAAATTGCTCACAGTACAAACTGTTATCTCCTGTGCAAATTAACTATGAAACTACAGCTCAGGGAGGGGGATCTCAGAAGGTTTGTCTTGTACCGTTTTCCTCCCACCCCTGCGGAGACTGATAAAAGATAAACTTTATTCCTTAAGTTCCCCCAGTCCTGCCCTTTGTCATGGTGGTCCTTTCCTCCCATCCTGTGAAACGCTTCAATCTTTTGTATATTAGCAAAAAAGCCCAGCAAAACAAATGAAAAACTCTCCTAACTATTAAAACCAAAACTACAGGATCCCCCCCCCAACATCTATCTATAGGCTGTCTATTTCTTGGCCTTAGCATGCACTGGATAACGAGTTCCCAGTGAAGAGAGGAGCTGAAACTGTCTTGAGCCTCTCACTTCTCTGCCTGCATATATAAAGACAGTGGCTTTAGGTATCTCCAGCAAAAAGCAGCCACTCAAGTAGAGTGAAGGCAATTTTTCGTTTCCCACATACTCTACATCACAGAGGGAAGCTGCTGCAGTGTTGTGTACCACATGCTTTTCTGTTGTTTCACTCAGAAAAAGGAACGTCTAACAACTCCCTCCAGAACACTGGAACATTAGCCGATTAAATGCAAAAGGAGCACACGTTTAAAAAACTTTTTAATTTCTCTTTGATCTGCATTCCAAAACAATTCAAATATGTTCATTTACTGTAAAAAAGAGAGGCAAGTGTTTCAGAAATTTAATGCCGAGTTTAACCTGTTTCACTATACAGCACAAGCTTGCCAATTTGATGGCATAAAGTTTTTTTTTAAAAAAAAAACAACCCAACACCCCCCCCCAAACTCTTTATTAACCTTTCATGCCAGAAATGTGCATTTTCGCTACGTTCAATTATGGACGGTACATTAATCCATCCACCAGAAGTAACATCTGGACAGAGGTCAGGTAAACTCTACGCTTTCTCATAGTGGCGAACAGCAACCACATCACCAAAGGTGAGAGTCTGCAAGTCCAAGGAAAAAACAGACATGTTAGATGCTGGACCATCTTCTGTAATGATTTAACACATATTCAGAAGACCATGCTAGACCAAGGTTGTTTTATATTATATAGACAAACAAGTTGGTCTCCATTATTGGTGTTTTAAATGAACAAGCGGAAAAACCTCAAAGTTATGGGTCCCATAATAGACTTAACTTTCTCCTTGCTGCTTTCAAACCCAAGAAGCACGTAATGCGCATGTACAAGACAACTAAACTGAGACTAGAAATGTAAGTTCTTAAATACAGCGTTGTTTTAATATAGATTTAACACTTATTTTCCCAAGGCTGATCACATTGCAAAATGTGCAATCTAAAATCCAAGTCCTCTATACCCATATTCTATACTAGTATGCATAGGCATATACTTAAGGAGAACCTTGTACTAAAATAAATGCATTCTGTGCACTTGCGTAGCTAGAACTACCAAATATTTTAGTTACTGCAGTTGTGCAGAACACTAGCTACAGTGTGTGAGCTTTGGAGGTATTTCCTGAAGTGGAACAGGGCATCTCGCCATGTTCAAATTCCAAAGGAATTGGTTTCTGTATAGGTGTGTAGCTGTTTCCAGAAACAAATCATGTATTTTCCCTTGAATCGCTTGTCACATTATGTTGCTCTGACCGTACGCTTTAAGGTTTTAATTATCTGGAAGTCTCCATCCACACAGATAGTCTCCAAAGTATTTAGAAAACCAGACAGGAGGAATAAACCCTTTATTATTAAATATGAAGATGCTATTACCTCCTGCAATATTGTAATTTTATTTTCCTAGGAAAATACTTGTTCTGTGTAATCAAATATTATTTATGCATGCACATATAAAACAAGTTTTTAAATAAATCAAAATTAGCACTGGCAACAGATCATTGCCTATATAATCAAGAACTTTGTATCTTTTCCAGCTCACCAGGACTTTTTTTTTTTTTTCCGCCTGGGCATTTACACAAAGTCTAGAAAGAACATAACACACTCTGGAAATCCACAGGCTGTCCTGCCTAAAACCCCTAGCAATTTTTCAGTTGTCAGTAAAACAAAACACAAACCAAACCAAATATTTGAAAAAATCTCTGCTAGCTTTCCCCACCAATTAGTTTAAAGGTTTGTGTATAAGTAACACTATCTGTTTGTAAAGCTTGAGGAGATAAATGTAAGCGAGGAGTGCTCCCGGTGTATGTGAAAGCTCAGCGAGCTCTATACTTACCATTACCATTTTGCCATCCTTTATTTCTCTCACAAAGTTTGTCTCTTTGCCATCCCACTTCTGTACGTGCACTAGCTTGTCTCCATCCAGGGTCACAACTGACTGTGAGATACCAAGAAACACAAAGACATGCATTTATTTGGGGTATTTGGGATTCTGCTCAGACATTCGGCATGCATTATCCTATTGAATTCTCTTCAATAGATGGATGTGTATGTGGAATGATAAAGTAGTCCCAGCCATTTTAAAGCCAAGCCCATGAATCATCCTCGTTTTAAGCATGAACTCTGTACAATTCTTGCTTGTGTCAAAGGATGAAAAAAGTTGTTTTCTGTGAGTTCCAGTCTCAGGAGAACCACTGTTTCAGATGTGCTTTGGAATAACGTTTATGTTAAGCCCCCAAAGATACTTGAAAGAAGGCATTTCCCCATTTCGACTGGAAAAAGTTACACAAAATTATGTTTGGATTGAAAGAAAAGAGGGCAGCTAACAATTCTTCAACACTGGAAAGCAGACAGGGGGCTGGCAACAAAACGCACTGCTTCAGACAAGGCACGGCATAAGCGGGCAAGTAAGAGGCAATCTTGTCTTTTTTTCCTGTCCCTTATTAGTGCTACAACTGGCACTAGCAAAGTTACATTATTTTTTTTTTTCCTTTGACCCTACCAGAGGGGGGGGGGGGGGGGAAAAAAAAAAAAAAAAAAAAAAAAAAAAGCCACTGCAGCCCCAGAGTTCACTTACTTTGCAGTTTCTGTCATCGGGGGTAGTTTCATCAAATTCCTCTCCGAGTTTAAAGCTGATTTCTGTGTTTTTGAAAGTGCTCTGAGTCCTGATCACTACTTTGTCCCCCTCGCTGCTGATAATCACAGTGGGTTTAGTCACATTCCCCACCTGCCGTGTTGCAAACCCCACTCCTAGACCATCAAGGGAAACAAAAAAAAAAAAAG